AGAACCACTGTTGCAATGTCCTTGCTGACCCCTTCACCCCTGTTCTCAACAGTCTTCCCCTCATCGCCCACATCGCTTCCCAAAAAGCTCCCCGTATCACATCCATTGCATACGCATGGACCACTCGGGTCTGTGTACCGGCCAGCAGCTGGCCCACCAAAACCTCCACCCTGTGCTCAGGCGATTGCGGGTGCAGTGGCACGTGCCTCAGGTTTGTGCCCCACCACTCCCAAAAAAGTTTCTTGCGGCTCACATTCCAGCCATATATATGGCAAGGTTTCTTGCCTCCCCTCACAGGCTTTGCAATCCTTATCCGTGGCCGAGCTGTACTCGGCCATCCACTGGTACGTGGGCACTGCCATTTGCAAAGACAGCCACAGGCCCCCCGCTTGTTTCTGGTCCGGCAGCATAGTGAGCAGCGCACACGCTTTCTCCCAGCTCTGCTGCGTCCACTTCCCCACCAGGGGTTGCTCAAGCCACCCCTTTTTCTTCCATCGCTCCCTCATCTCGTCAGCCATGTCCGTGGGTACATTCAGTGATCTGTAGATCACCTTAGTCGTAATTTGGTGTGCCGGCATCGGACAACGTTGGGAGTTTGTCGCCCTCCATTCCCACATCGATGGGTCCCAGGGAATCTGGAGCGGGTGTTGGCTTATCTTGAATGGTCTGAAGCTATCCCCTTTCCTCTGCTTTTTGTCCCTGACCACCGCCACAAATCTCATGTTGTTTCTGTGGATCCTGCCATCCCTCTGCACACACCTTATCATCGTTCGCCCCAACGCTGTCCCCGTCTGCAGCACCTCCCATCCCTCTGCCCAGAACCATTCCTCCTGTTCTTGTGCCATTACTCTGAACAGCGTTGATGGCGGATCTTCTGTGGTCAAGGCGATCCATTCCCCTTTGACTCTTCTATTGCGTCGCAATATGAGTCTCCAATCCTCCGGGACCGCCTGCCTCAGTCGCGTCAGTCTTGTCTTTCTGTCCGGTTGGTGTCTGAGCACTCTTTCCATCTCTGCGTCGCCTCTCCATTCCCCCCTTTCCACATCCCACAGATCCGCCACCCTGTGCACCCCACAATTGAGCCATTGTCTCCCAAACGCACCTCGATCCCCCTGCCACTAGAAAGGGTGGCCGTTTTCGCAGATCCGCCTATTCCCGAACAACGACTGCCCCAGAATCTGTGTGACCGACTGCGGCTCCGTCTGGGCCGATTTCCTCCATTTTTCCAGTGTTTGGGACCACAACTCATTTCTGGTCAACCCTTGCACGAGTTGAGGGTGCAACAGGGCATTTTGCACATCCGCCGGTTCCAGTCTCAGGGCTCTTGCCATGCTGGCAAGTGTAACCACCTTCCATGGAGCATCATCCTTCTCCAGCAGCAACCACAGCACGGTTCTCATCTGGAGTGTCGTCGCCTGTTTGTGAGGGTCCAGCAGTCCACGTCCACCCACCTTTCTGGGCTGTGTGAGTTCTCCCACCTGACCCTGTAGATCAGGTGCGGCACACAGGGGTCGTTTTTCCGAAAGTACTTCCTCAGACTTGTTTTATACTGCCTCCACGTCCTCTTTCCAGGCGTTGACACCGGTGCAACATACCAGAGCGTGGACGAGACCGCATTGTTCGCTACCAGCACCCGGCCCAATAATCCCACGTCTGATATCCCGGCCCAACGATTCATCCTTGTGAGCGCCTCAATGAGCAGGTTCTCCATTTGTTCCCCACTGGTCAGCGCCGCCGGCAGCAGGACCCCCAGGTACGTAGTGTTCTCCTGTCCCTGTACCATTCGCATATCCTCAAAATATTCCGCCCCTCTTCCCTCGTGCAGCATCACCACCGACTTCGGCCAGTTCACCTTGGCCCCTGCATGTGTTTCGAAGTTGTGGACCTGTTCCCTAACAGCCCGCACTGACCTTTCGGAGCATTCGACAAAGGCAGCCGTATCATCCGCGAAACTATTTGACTTTAGCTCCCTGCAATCAGGGAGGCGAAGTCCTCGGATCCTCACGTCGCCCCGCAACATGTCGTGCAAGTGTTCTACGTACAAGATGTAAAGCGCTGGGGAGAGAGGGCATCCTTGCCGAACAGATCTCGTGACCCTCATCAGTTGTGAACGGAATCCATTAATTTGTACCGTTGCTGTCGCCGAACCCAGCAGGTCCTTGACCGCCAGTCTGAATCGTGGCCCTATCCCCCTCTTCTCCATTCCTCGCAGGAGAAATCCCCAGCGTACTCTGTCGTATGCTTTCTCGAAATCTAGTAGCAGGACCGCCAACGGTGGATCACTCTCCTCGGCCCGGCGCAGCACCTCCCTCACCATGACGGCGTTAGTCAAGATCTGTCTGGCCAGAACAAAGCCAGTCTGGGTGGGGTGTACCAAGTCCGGGAGCACCTCGGTTAGCCGATTGGCCAACACCTTGGCATACAGCTTGTACGGAGCAGAGAGCAAAGAGACCGGTCTCCAATTTCTAATCTCCGTCGAATCGCCTTTCTTATGTAACAGTATTATATCCGCCTCTCCAAAACCCAGCGGAAAGCCCTGGCGATCGCGGAAGAAGCTGTTACAGATTTCCTGCAGGAGGGGGCCAATCAGTTGTCCAACCACCTGCAGGTGGTCCATTGGCATGCCATCCGGCCCCGCCGCTTTGTTTCTTGGTCGATCTGTCAAGGCTCTCTCGATCTCGGGGATCAGTATCTCTTCTTCTAGTCGCAGGCGCTGGCTCTGAGTGAGGGTTGTCCGACATTGATCCCAAATCCGTTCACAAGTTGTCTCCCTTTGTTCTCTCTCCCCCTCTTGCTCAGTCTCCGTATACAAATCCATGTAGAATTCCTGCACATAGCGGAGCAGCTCCGGTGTGGATTCCGCCTCAGGCTCATCCTCCCGAAAGGGTTGCCGCAACACCTTGATTAAGTCCACCCCTCTCTTGCTTCTCCCTTGTCCGAAGAATGCCGCCGTCATTCTCTCCTTGAGTCTTGCCCACCTGGCCTTAGTTAACAGGCCCCATCTCTCCGCGTCCTGTCGTTCCCACTCTGCCCACTGCTCTTTGACCGTCATCCACTGCACCCACCAATCCTCCTCCTCTCCCTCCCCTGGTTCTGTCCCCAGTTCTTCCATCTTGCTAATATACTCTTCCCCTGTCCGCAAATGTGCCTGTCTTGTGGCCTTTGCCCGCGCCAGCATCACTCGCCTAAATTCCAACAGCCCTTGTTGAAAGTGCTGTGTCGCCGATACTCCATCTGTGCGCAGCCCTGCCCAATACTCCCAATGTTGTTTTGCTAGGCGCATGTGTAGCTGATCTCGGAACATCCAATGGGGTACCATTGGCGGCTGTGCCCGTGTCTCCACAAGTGTCGGCAGCAGAAACTCCGTGAGCAGCAACTTGTGGTCTGATACGGCCACTGGCAATGCTACCACCCGGAGCAATTTGTGCAACAGGTCCCCCTGCACCCATGCCATGTCCAGCCTGCTTCTTCGTCCCGGTCCCGGGCCTATCCATGTGAACCCTTTTTCCTCCGGCCAAGTTTCCCGAAATGCATCCTCCATCGCCATCTTGGCCATCATCAACCGCAGTGCTTCCGCATCCGACCTCGGCGGCCCCGCCTGAGGGGAGTCCAGTCCCGGCTGTACCACGGTGTTGAAGTCCCCCATCATCATTGTATTCAACGTGTCCGGGACATTTGTTGGGAGATCCCTCCAAAACCATTTTTTCTGCGTCGTCTCCTGCGGGGCATACACCATGGACACCAACAATCTTTCCCCCTCCACCTCCACCCAAACCCATGCCCATCGTCCTTGTGTGTCCAGGAAGTAGTCGAGCACCCGCCCTTGAAAGAATTTGGTCATCACTATGGCCACCCCCCCCATCGTACCCATCGTTAGCGCCCATACTTGGAACCCCTGCCCCAATTCCAATCTTCCCCTCCCCCGCACCCGCTCTTCTTTGAGCTTTGTTTCTTGTATGCACAACACATGTATTTTTTCCCTGTCCACTATTTGTCTAAGTTGTCTAGTCCTCCATCTAATTGATCTCTCCCCCAATCCTCTTATGTTCACCGAAGCCACTCTGAACGCCTTTTCTACTACCATGTCTGCCCTACCCGCCCTTTATCTAATGCTAACTGGCACGACGACGATTCCCCCCCGCCCCCCCACCTCTCTTTTCAGAGAGAGCCCATAGCCCTTACTCCGGCGGTCATCGTCCCCCTCCCCCTCACCTACGACCTCCCCCCCTTCCTCCTCCATTTCTGCGCGCCGACGCCCCTGCGGATGTCACGCTGACCGAAACTTTGGATCTTCGCGAGGACCTATTCGACGCGTCCCCGACCTCGCAAATGGCCATTCATACCCTTCTACCCAAAAGCCGTGTCCTGTAAACTTCTTATCTTCGGGCAAGTGTTTATTCACTCCCCTCAGGACATGTGTGCCCATGGTCTCCTGGGTCGCATAGCTGGATGTCGCGGCCATCACCGGTCCCAAAAGTTGACCGAAGTCTTGCCACACAAATTGCGGATTCAGAGACGACACCACTGCGTCGTCCAAGCGGAGTTCCGTTCTCAGCAGAAAAACATACAGTCCCATAAGTTTCCCGTCGTCCACCTTCTCCACCAAATGGATCGTCAACACTCTTTCCACTGGTCCCACCTCATAGTTCTTCCCCACCCAACTTTTCCCCACCGTGACTGCCCATTGCTGTGACGAATGGTCCTCAAATCTGGCCATTGCAAATCGCACCTCCCCTTCATCCGCCTCTTGTGTTGTAACCAATATCTGCAGATTGCCCATCCCACGTTTAAAGACGAGGGGCAATACGCGGAGCCGGCCCGCCTGCTGCATATCACAAAAGGCCTCATCCAGGAGCACCATTCTCGTGCGCATTTGTGTATAGCCTGTCTCCCGATAGTCTCTGTTGCGCCCTTCCGTTCTACCCTCTGGCTCTTCCTCCCTCCCTTCCTCAGGCGCTCTGAGTGCCGGATCCGGGGAGGCGATTCTGACTCTTCCCTCAGGGAGGAGGGGCCTATCCTACGATCCTCGTCCCGGGTTCTCCAAAGCGACTGGCCCGCCCGGGTGATCCATCGCAACTACTGGGATGCCCTTGTGTGGGCCCGCCGATCTGTCCCTCTCGCCATCCCCCTCCTCCCCAACAGCCCGTCCCACTCCTTGCATCTCTTGATCCATCGCCCCTACCGAGGTGCCATTGTGTGGGCCCACCGATCTGTCCCTCTCGCCCTCCCCCTCCGCCCCAGCAGCCCGTCCCGCTCCTCGCATCTCTTCTCGGCCCCTCCCCCACTTCTTTGACTCAGCTGTCCGATCCTGTCCCGGCTTCCCTCCCGATCCCCCCACCGTTTCCCATACTATCCTCTCTGTCCTTCCCCCCGGGTCTTCCCCCAGGTATACCAACGATCTTTCATCTGTCTCGGTGGGCTCCGCCGCTCCAGCAGTTGCATCCTCCACTGTTCCGTTCCCCCCCCTCTTTTCCTCCGTTTTCTGTGGTTCGATTGGCTCCTCTCCCTCCAATTTCCCCAATTTGTCCCCCTGACGAGATCCCTGCTCCCCAGTTCCTTGTCTCCCTCGTACGCCTAAAACAGATCGGTGCTCCCCAAAGATCAGCACTCCCTTCTCCGTCTCGTCTCTGCATCTCTTCGGGGACGGGTTGTGCTCGGTGGAGGATGACACCGCTTGTTTCCCTTTTCTCCCCTTCCCCGCCTTCCCCTCTCGTTGCTTGTTCTTGCGTCTCGGCCTTGGTCTTTTCGTTCCCTGTGGCCTCGGTTTCATTCCTCCAATCAATAGAATATCCCGTGGTGGCTGCCCATGCTTGTCCGCCTCCTCCTCTCCCCTCCCTCCTCTGTGCCGCCCTTTCTCCTTTCCCCCCTCCTCTCCCTCCCTTCTTACCTCCCTCCTTGAATCATCGTTTTTCTCCTGTCGTGCTCTCTCTGTTTCCCAGCCAACTCCAGGACGAAAATCCCTAGGGCGTGGTGTGACCCCCGTCATAACAGCCCCACTATCCGAGTTCTCTGGGTGTGTCGCTCTCCATAGCGTGTGCCACGTGCTGTCGAAATCCGCTGCCCACACGCTATGTGTTGACGGGTGGTTTCTAATGTTGTCCACCCATGCCACCAGCCCACAATTAGCCCCCTCCCTCTGGTCATCGGGTCATTCGGAGATCCCTTCGATGCGTTCCGCTTGCCTCTCTCCTCGCTCCTCCATTCCCCCCTGGATTCCCCCCTCCTCCTACTGCCCATCTCGACCGTCCCTCCGGTCGCACTCTCCCATCTCCTCCCCTTTCTTGTGTTGTGTCCCCTCCTCCCCACCCCCCCCTCTCTGTTGTGGCCCCTCGAGCTCCTCTCTCTCTCCCTGCGGCGCTTCTTTGTTTGTCTGTTGGCCGCCTCGTGGCCCAAGTTCCTTTTCCTCTGACCCTCCTTCCCCCCCCTCCAGTCCTCCCCGACACATCCCTTCCTCCTTAGTGCAAAGTGTTCACACTTAGACGTACATGGCTTAGCCTTTGAGACAAGCATATGACTACTGGCAGGATCAACCAGGTAGCGGGTGTAACGAGCAGCCACAAGGAGCGATGGCCAAGGCGCACGTAGGCACATCACGCCGGCCAGCCTACCAAAAGAACGTCGAACAATCGTGGAACGTACGCCGGCCAGCCTACCAAAAGAACGTTGAACAATCGTGGAACGTGCAATGAGCCGCCGAGATGACGCGAAGTCCGGCTGTTTGAATTGCAGGTGAACTTCCCCTCCGTAGGCCATCTCCAATGGCAAGGTACCACACAATCCAACACAGCCCGCCGCACCCGCTCACAAGATTGGCTGCGAACAGCACCCGCCCACACCACACCCAGAGATCGCAAGTTAACCACACTACCCGAACAACGGGGCGCGTGAAGGAACCACCGACCGCTTCGGCCCACAGCCGGATGCCACCGCCCGCCCAAAACGTACCGACACCGAAGTGCACCGCCTCATCTCTCCATCGAGAAACGCGAGTGAAGAGAGAAACGAATGCACCACGCATCCAACACGCTCGGACGGACGGAAAGCCTCCACCTGTGCACGGGGGCAAAAAAGGAACACACCCCTTCCCCCCTGGAACCACATGCGCCTGTTGCCGCGGGCACCACCAACAGCACTTGACGCATGTGAAACCTAGGAGACAGAGGACAATAGCCTTCAAAGCCCACAGCCTAAACGCAGCGGAAGAACAACGCAACGAGATCCGTCACGGTGTGCAGCATACCAAGACCACAGCATGGGGGACACGACGGGCACAAGCGCGCATTCCAACAAGTCGGGTGGATGACGGGCCCAACCTCGCGATGCTGTCGGAGGGTGCATCACGCATCCCACAAGTCTCTGCCTTCGCATACGGTAATCAGCGGGGGCCACCTGCGCCACCGCTCAATGGCGCCGCTCGGATGGCGAAGAGCGCAGAGACTCCTCACCAATTCGTGACACCCTCTCAACACAAACGGAACGCGCCGTTGTGAGTGCGGACACGAAGACGACACCACAACAAAGCTGCAACAGCTCTCCCCGAAAGCTATGGGATGAGGGTGCCGAAGCTGGGAGTCGGTGACGGGCACCTCCGCCTCCACACCCTGCAAACGACCGCCAACCGGACTGCCGTCTACGATCAGGCGCCAACCGTCACAAGACGATGAGCGAGGGTGAACGCAACGATCCACAACGCAGCACCACAACATAGGAAAGCCCCGACAGCCGCGACTGCCGCCAGCGACGACCGAGCTGTCGTGAAATAAGCCCTCCGAGAAAGACGACCATGGACCCGCACGGCGCCGCAAAAATGTTCGCTCGACCACCAAAGAACGACTCGCCCGTCTCTCGCAAACTGGAAACCACCCAAAGCGTGTGTAGAGAGTCCCTCGTAACACAAGTACAAGGTCCCAAAACCCACGCTCAGAACATCGCCTTCATCGACTGCAAGGGGGCTGCTAAGCACGCAGGCCCCTATAAGAGCGCAAACGGGACTCCGAACCGCCAACCACCAACTGTTTGGCACATCCAGAGGGTGCTCACTGAGCCATCCGCCGAGGGACCTGCACATGTCCCTTTCCAGCAAGCTGACTGAACAGACCCCAATGGCGATGTCCCGCTTGGGACCTCGTCCCTTTCCGCTCTCAATAGCACGCCTCTGGACCTTGGATCCTGGGAGACCCCCTTTTCTCGGGGCCGTTCCTACGCCCGAGTGGCAGTGCGCGGTATCTGCTGCCCCCACAAAATTCGACACCTCAAAAGTCCGTCCCATCTCCCTCCCTTCCACACACAAAATCTTAGATTTCTGGCATTATATTATAGTGGACTCCTTCCTGAGCCTTTGAGAACATTTACCTATGGACAAGCTATCGGTACCTTTATTTTATTTTATTTATGGTAAGTCCTAGGTATTCACCACATTGTTGCAGTGGTGTAGGGCCGGGGGAAAAAAATAAATAAATTAAAAGAAAAAAAAAGACAGAAAAAAAAGCGACGAAACAAACAGAGAAAAGGCCAAGCAGCTTCTGTGCCTAGCGACTCAGATCAYGCCGCGGTGTGGGAGTGAAAAGTTTACGGGAAGTCTGGCAGAATCATGCGTCCGTTGTGGGGTTATGTGTTGGCGAACATGACCGGACACGCACTCCAGAAAAAGAAGGGGGGAAAGAAAAGTAACGGATGACTTGACAAAGTCGTCATTTCAATTTGTGTCGGCCCCGAGAAAAACTGCATCCGGCAGAACAAGCGAGGCCGAAAACCCGACGGCATAAGCATTTCCGTGCATGTCCCAGAGAACACCATAGAGCCAATCAGGTACTGCCTCCAGTGAAGCAGCCCGCCATGATCACACTCACGCACAGGGAGGGCCGGATAGGGCAGGAAGTGGGCCGTTTGCCCCCGCCATGAACATCATTGCGTGCACGCGTGGGGGCGGGGGGGGG